ACACGTGAAGAGGCACCATCCGGGACAACATCGAGACCGGTTAAATCAGGCATGCTAGATGCCGTAAAAATTACAAGTAGCTAGGCCGGGTAAATTAGCGATCGTCGACTTCCTTGCAAACCACTTTGGCCAGGGGCAGCACGCGATTATACAAATACTGTTGACAGTAGTAGTCATAGTGGTGATGTGCTCCTAAATAGTGATGCACTGGATCAACACGGGCGCCAGAAAAATACAAGGTAGGCGTTACTGGGACTGCGCATCCATAACACATGAGGGGTTTGGTGGCACGCCTAGGCACCCGATCCCGCCTCCGGTCCTCCTCACTTTTTGTGACACCAGTTCCAGGGGGTGAGAGAAGAGGGAGTGTGGCAGATGCAATGCAAGTCACCTCCCCTGCGCCTAGCATGCCTTGGAGCACATCATCGGAATGGACGGTCGAGCTGTCGATGGTGTTATTAGTCGTAGCGGTAGTAGGAGTAGTAGTAGTAGCAGCAGCGTGAGCAGTAGTAGTAATAGTAGCAGTAGTAGTAATAGTAGTAATAGTAGTAGTAGTAGTAGTAGTAGTAGTAGTAGTAGTAGTAGTCAGTAGTAGTAGTAGTAGTGTAGTTATAGTAATAGTAGTGGTAGTAGTAGTAGTATTAGTAGTAGTAGTAGTAGTAGTAGTAGTAGTAGTAGCAGTAGTGTAGTAATAGTGGCAGAGGCAATAATGATAGTGGTTATAGTTTTTGTGGCGGCAAAGTCGACTTGATTTCGTGGGGAATTTTTTGGAACACTTAAGCAGAAAACAAATCAAATGGTTTTGATCAATGCAGACAGCAAATGGAGTTGGATAGCAGTCAGGTTGGAAGTCACTCGAACAAAAAATATGGTAGGGCATTTTTTTAAACGGCGGGCCTACCTAGCAATTTGTAAACCACAGGCTTAGACAGCATAAAATGTCAAAATAAAAAACTACCCACCCAGCTTATGGCGCGGAGCTGAGGAATGCTAAGCGGCAAAAAATGGGAAGAAAAGTTCAGCGGCGTGGAGGTATCTGTGTTCTGGCAGCCTGATTAGAGAAATCGGCCACCTCTACTCGGAGACCGGAGAGTCCTGCACACAGTCCTTATTATACAGAGAACGGGTCGCGTGCACATTGTGCTGATGTCGTCCTCATTGGCGACCCCGAACGTTTCGCGTAAATTTTCCAAATAGGACACAGGCTGGTTTGCGTAGTCGCTGACTGAGCAGTTGCCCTAATATGTTATCCTCACGTTGATCTACAACTTTAACGGTACCAGGGCAGGGGACATTTTGAATGTAAACCGCTATTTTGCTCTCCATTCAGGTAGAAAATATTTGTAATTTTGTGCTATTTTCCTTTGATATCCCGCATTTTCTTCTCTGCATTGTTTGTCTGAGCTGTGATCATGGGGTCATCTGCATAGTAGGCTGGTATCAGTGCATAGAGGCCTTTTGCTTTCTCTTTTTTTTCTCTCTCTCTCTCAAAGCTCAAAAATGTCCATTCCGCGCGACATAAGTCGCCATCTTCGGCTCTGAGTCTAATTAAAAAAACAGCCAACCAGTAGTCGAGAATCCAAGCCCAGATCTCCTGAGGGTATTCAGTTTAGTCCGGCTTGATGGCCCACGTACTGCAATGCCTTTTCCGCCAATCGATATTGTGTGCCTAGAAGCAGGCGGCGTTTCTGTCGGAACTTGGTATTTGCAGCGTGTCGGTTGCCTTCCTGTATACTGCTGACCGGTGTAGACTTTGCTGTTGCAACATAACCAATCTTTTTTAAGCATACCATACCGACAAAGGCGAATTCATTTCAGTCACGCAATCTTTAAGCTAAGCACATGACAATGCGCGTTTAGTTCTCTTGGGTTCACTACAGTTGATGGAGTGATCAATTAAATATATCCTTGTTTAGGCGAAAGGGTGTGAAAAGTACAAATTTGTTGAAAGGACTTTGAGCGCCGACACTGAAACACTGGAACTGTATCTACTACTGAAATGCGAGTCCGCGTCTTAAGCTAAATTTCAATGGTAGCGATTGAACTTTTAAATGCCTTTTTGAGTCTCGGACTTTGTGGTTGATACACTCCGGTCAATTCGGATAGCAGTGAACAAGCGTACACTTGACCTACAAAGATCCAGACATACTTCGCGTTGGTTGGTCGCCGAGGTAGATTTTATTATCTGGAAAAGGGAGCCCAGCTTTACACTCATCGACCAATGTTCCGGGAGGGAGGCTTTCCGAGAGGTCGTTGAAGGGAATGAGCATGGTGATAAACTCCCGAGACCGTTCGTTGCGAACAGTCTCAAACGACTGCGCATTTGTACCCCGGATAAATATGGTAGATGACCTAACTTATGAAATATCGAGATCAAAATCTGAATGGTAGCATGGAATACACTGGGTGTCGGTATTTTTGTTCACTGAATTGATTTGGGCTCGAGAAGCTGTTTACAAAAGAATAGTTCATTTCAACCCTACTTTTCGAAATAAAAGCAGGCCAAATTTGGGCGAAATATGACCCGTTTTAGTAGCTAAGTAATTTCATATGCTATTGAAAGTTAGATGAAAAAAACCTTGTTTGTACGCGTTGCGCTATAAACCACCATTAACTTATATAAATAAACTCCTTCTAGGTAGGGGAAATTGGATTTTGCATCTATGAAAGTCCAGTAAAGGCAGCTATGAGGAGGAAAGGGGAGGGATTCAGCTTTCAAAATTATTTTGCAAACTTATGGCGTCTCGTACCAAATAACTCAACACTAAACTTGGTTGGCTGTCACACCAAGATTTAGCATCCATCAGTAAATACGCATAGAGTTGCTGCTGCATGCTGTCATATTTCTCTTTCTCGCCTTCTGATAATGAAGTCCAGACGATGTCAATCTGTAATCGATCACGCACGGATGCTGGTATTCGCGGCGAAGGGATTGCTGAGCAAGTCGTTGGCAAATATTTTCAATAATAGTAAGGTACCTCTGTGAGGCATTACGAATGATAGAACCGTGCACATAAATAAGCCTGGCGGACGAAAACGGTCTATGCGTAAGCAAGACAATGGTTTTATCCGTCGTACACTAAAAAGGAAATCATTATACAGTCTAGCCTCGGGTGACGAGCAGCCCCGTCTACGAGCATTTCAGGTAACGAGCAAGCCAGTCGCTGAGAAAATTTGCTTCGATTGACGAGCCTTCCCTTCAGTTAACGACCTGTCAGTGCATGCATGGGCCTGCGTCCGCCGTCGAGTCTTGCTCCCAGGGCGTAGGCCCTCGGTCAACTGCAGCCAATCAGTGAACAGACGAACACGTTTTAACATGCACCCCCTTCCCATATAAATG